GCAGTTGCTTTTCTTTCTGGCAAACATATTTTCAATGGACATCTAGAAAGTTAAAGTGGAAATCTCAACATAAACCAGAATAGTATATGCTTTCTCTCACATCTTCATTCTCTATCCCACCTTCCGTGGAAGGAAAGAGACAGTCACTCACAGACCCTGAACAACAGAGCTCTGCCACCTTCAACTCAGACTTTCGATGTCACCGTGGTGAGTGCTGAGGTATACTTTCCAGGTACCTCCGGGCCTAGGTGCAGAGGAGCATTTTCTCTTGGGGGGCTCACGGCTGAGATCCTCTTGAGGTATAGGCAAAGGATGCTGCCTTACCTGAGGTTATCCGCATCCCCCTCCCCCCAGGAGAGAGCCCACATCCAGTGACTTGGGATACAAAGCCCCAGCCTCCTTTTCCCAGTTGGGGGCATCTCTAAAGGACCAGCCCAACTTCGGAGCAGCCCTTGGGATCAGCTAAGGCCTTTGCTGGGACTGAATTTAGATGAACTCTCCGTCCAGTCATGCTCTCCTGCACACGTGTTGTTCCCGAGAGCACCATGCAATAAACCTACATGCGGATCTCCTTCTCAAAGTCTGTTTCCATGGAACCCAGCCTAAGGAGGCACCTTCAGGGTCTCTTTCATTCCACCTGCCAGAAGGGAAAAGGGCATGAAGGGATACGGGGGGAGTCTTGGATGCCGAATCTAGAGGCAATAGACATGACTTCCATTGCTTAGAACCCAATCACATGGCCATACTTAATATCTGTGGAGGTGGGAAAATGCAGTCCAGCAGTGTCTCCCAAGAATTAGTGAGCACTTATCTGTCTCTGCCATTTGTACCTCCCTTCTCTCTCTCTCTCTCTCTCTCTCTCTCTCTCTCTTTCTCAGGAAAAACTCATCTGCAGCATCTGAAGAATTAAAATTTGAGGCACTTAGGCATGAGTCTTCATGGGAGAAGAGACACATGTTGTCAGCATCAGGATCCCTGGACTTTTTTCTCTTATTAAGAACCCCTTCTGTCTTCTACTAAGGACCATTATATTCAGTCTGTAATTAAATCTTGGGTGCTTCTTCTGCCTTCAGAAGAATTTTTTTTTTTTTCAGAAGAAGCCAAGTGAACTTGGAGGACTGTAGAAAAGATTAATAGAAAGTTAATCTCTATTCCAAAGGTCATAAATTCCAATGTTTTGAAGAACTAAAGGGAACCGTGTGACCTGGTCCTTTCTACCTAGAGTTGGCAGAGCCCAACGGATCAATAAAGTAAAGAAGACATTACCAGCAGCCACCCTGATCCCTCAAGGCACAGGGTCAGTTCAGAGAGAAGACTGTATACGTGCTGAGGGGTCCTCAACATGAGCCACAGAAAAGAGACCAGGCACTGAGCAAGTTCATCTCCCCAGAACTGGGACCCAGCAAGTTTTGTTACATAATGAGAGATTGTTTTGTTTTGACTATAACTAAAAGCATTTTCCAAAACATAAGAGAGCTGGGACTCTTTCATGGAGATCCTCCAAGCCCTGGGGAAGGGTCTAAGACCAGAGGAGAATTCAGGTGGATCTAGGTGCCCTGGGCATCCCCCTCCCCTGTCCAGGGACAGTCCACCACCTGTCAGCCAAGAAGACTCAGTGCCAATGAACAGCAAGCGTTCACTGTCCACCCACTAGTGCTGAAGGTAAGCATAACTGGCCAGCCTCTGAGAAGTGGCTATAATCCCAGATAAAGATGCTACTTGCCCCTTTAAAGCCCCAGTGCATGTAGTTGGAGAAGTGGCTTCAGAAGACCAGAGCCCGGTGCCCTCCTGTAACTCCCCTGGGACACAAACTTAACATCATTTTGGGTAGCAGTGACAGTGAGGGTGTTTCTTTTCTTATTTCTTCCTTTGCTCCTGGCCCCATGCCCTCATTCACCTGCCCTTGTCCCACAGTGGCTAGAGGCGGAGGGTTCCTGTTCTGTGTCTGCCTCCCTCTTGCTCTCTCCCATTGTGCTCACCTTCTCTCCTTCTGCCCAGCTCTCCCTTGCTACTCAGTGCCCTACCATGTGCCTCCTGGCTGTGCACAAGCTGGCCTTTCTTCAGTCACCCTGATACCCTGATGGGAGTGGGGATAGCTCATCTTCTTAAAAGTCTGACACTATGTAGCTTTTCCCTCTTTCGTTAGTTTCCTCTGGAATTTTTTTCTCTGTGTTCTGACACTTCTTCTCTTCTCTTCTTCTCCTTGGCTCTTTGCTTTTCTTCTTTTTTTGTCACACAGACCCACTGCTGTGTGTCCATGTCTGTGTTTCCTCCCTGTAACCCATACTCAAAGAAGGAAAGTGGGGCAAATCCTCCTCTGGAGGTAACAAGATTCAAAAACAAAACAAAACAAAAAAGAGACAGCTTCCACACACACACACCACATGACAAGACTAGAACTCACACTTGGACACTTAACCACTCTTTGGAAGCAACTATATTAAACTTTTGCTGTTTTTGTACATTTTAGGCATTTGAAAGATTTCCCAAGACTTTGAAGGATAAGCACACAATTTGACCTTGAAATGGGACACCCAACTCATGTGTTACCTTCCACTCGACTCAGAATACCTTTTGAAATGACCTATGGCTCCAACCTAGCATGTCCTGAGAGAAGAAGGAGCTCATGCACACCCCAGAGCATGCTACATTCTCCAAACGAATCAGATCATTCCTCACCTCAGTCCCATGGAATGAGAAGAAAATATACTTTCACTTTGTTTTGTTTATGACATGACGTCCAATCTATTGAGTTCCAATTTCTAACTCCCCTTCCCTATCACTGGAGAGAGAGTTATGATCCAAGCTGATATGAGGAAATGGGAGCCCACTGGTTCCAACCTGCTGTCAAATCTCAAGTGATTGAAAGAGAGGACACCTGGCATTTTTAAGATGCATTTCTATCCATCTCTCTTTTGGTCCTACAACAGCACTGTCCTATGAGTACAGGAAACTGAGCTGTCTGATTATCCAGTGAGGCCACACCCAGGGGGTTATGCAGACTTGACTGGCTTCTTCAGGGATTATATTCTGCTCAAGGCTGCAGCCATCCACCAGCCCTGGAAAAGCAGCCAGTCATGGGACAAGTCATGATTTTACCTGGCAGGTGAAGCCCCCATAAGTCTGAGAAGCCAAGCTGGCCCACCCCAGAGCTAACAAGTAGACTGAGGTTCCTCCATGGCCTGGGCCACCTGCCCCTCCAGCCCTTTTCTCTCATGTTCCTTTGATCCTAACCAATCCCAAAGTGATCTTATGGGGAAAAAATGCATTTACATCCAAGAAAACAGAAGCCACAAAGAAACAAACAAACATCTGATACAGTGAGGCTGCCTTTCTGGAAAGGGCAAAGGTTCTAGTAAAACCTACACCCATATTCTCAGCCATAAGTAAAAATAATCTCTATTTTACAGAAGAGGAAACTGAGACTCAAAGTGGTAAAGTGTCTTTCCCAAGGTTACACAGCAGTTAGCACAGAGCCAGGTTTAGTGCTCATTCTTCTTTAGCCCTCCCCTCAGCTCTCTCCACACCAACTGCAATAAATGATAACATTATCCCTAAAGACGTACAGCATGCAAATAAATCCTTGAGATTAAGCTTTGTGATTTAGGGATGAGATGATACAGAAAATAGTGATTTTCTTTCCCAGTAATGCTTAGTCTAGAGGTTTTTTGGAAGATATTCTTGTTTTATGAATGAGGGGGCATGGTGCTACAAGGGTGACATAGAAAACGATACTTAAATACTTAAATGGAATATCTACTATGTGCTCGTTACTAGAACGTATATTTATCTATGTTGTCTTAATAATCACGAGGACACTATGAAGTAAGGGTATACATTTATTATATGGAAAACCAAGGTTCTGAACATTTAATGTACTTTCCAAGGTCCAATCACTTACACCAATGCCCTTTCCATGGCACAGCCACTATCACTCCACTAGAAAGCACAGGACATATAGCAGGTACAGTGCAGGGGTTTCCCAGACCTGCAGATGGACCTTGGCTCCCCCACAGAGCCCCATCGCCACCCAGCCATGGAAGATTCCTTGAGGCCACACCTCCCTGGTCCGAATGCATCCCACTTGCCTTTACATCTGCCTCCATGAGCCTGCTCCTTATGACCTCCAATGCCAGAAAGTCTTCCACTGGATTGTAAGGACCACAAGGCAGGGTCATATATGCTTCAATTACTAATACAGCCCATAATAAGCACAGACCCTGCCCAGAGGAGGCACTCAATATGCATTTGATGAGAGGAGGAAAGAGCAGAGTGTGAGCAGAACAGGAACCCTGCTTATCCCTTCCATCTAGACTTTGAGAGATCAAGATTTCCCAGAAGGGATAGAACAGTTCACCAAATCCTAGTTCCATGAGTTATTCCTTGGATTTATAAGAGAAGCCAGCTAAGAACCTGATTTTAAAAGCATTGTTTGCCCATCAAGAAGTGAATTCATAGGAATTTGACACCTAAGAGGCAGACTGAAGTGTCAACGAACCCAGGAATGATCATGACCAACTGGTGGAGGGGAGAACCAAAGGGTTGTTATGTTAACGGGAACCAAAGGCTATTGGGTTCATACCCCAGTTCTGTCACCAGTGTGTTGTGTGATCTTAACCAAGACACCTAATTGACTAGGAAATTTTTGGTCTCAAATAATAGAAAATTCATATTGGCCTACTAAGAGGAATTTATGATTCACGTGTATGAAGAAATATAGAGTTAATTGGGGCACTTTGGTCAGGAATATAGCTACTCTTCTCTGCCTATCTGGTTCTTCTGGGTCAAACTTATTCCTGAGGTTTGCTTATGGAAGCAAAATGGTTGTGGCAATCTCAAGCCTCACCTTGCCTACAACACAGTCTATGGAAAGACACTGAAAATGTGTCCAAGAATTCATGGTGACACACTGGGAAATTCATTCTGACCAGACTCTTGGGTCACAAGTTCATGCATGAACCAGAGCAGTCACTGAGACAGAATGTGCTGATCAGCCTTACCTAGGCTGCAGTTTCCTCCCACACCACAGAAAACACGTGGATCACCACTGGAAATCTGGAGCCCTTGGGAAGAGAAAAAGAGAAGGACGCTGGAGAAGCTACCCACAGAAGTCCAACAGTCCTAGGTCTCTGGGAATGTTATTTCAATTGTTGAATATAAAACATAATAATAACTCTCAACGTATCACATGGGGCTCGTGTGATCTCAAGTGAGATAATGAGCAAATACACTTTTTAAAGTCTAAAGCTCTGTACCTTTATCTTTCACAATTTACAGACTCTTGAGATTCTGATAAATATATAAAACATTTATTCCAGCAAAAAAGAAAAGAACAAATACACAAACTTTTAAATGTAATTTCAGAAGCCCACTTCTGGGCCATGCCGGGGAAGCTCAATGAAGACCTGTTTGCTCCATGCCCATTCTTTCCCATGGACTTAACATAAAACCTGGGTGCCAGGATTTATCAATGCAATCCCATTTAATCCTGATGACAACCCTATGAGGGTGGTGCCATCATGTCCATTGTATGAATAAACTGAGGCTCAGAGACACTAAGTGACTTGACCATGGTCATAAAACTAATGAGTTGTGGAACTAAGACTAGAACCAGGTCTCCTGATTCAACTCTAATGCATTATCATGGCACTCACTTGGAATGCCTTTCCTCTCTGCTTCCTCTATACAAATTCTACCTGTCCTTGTGGCAGCTCAGAGCTCTCTCTTCTAAGAAGCCCTAATCACATTACAATTCATCTTACATGAATTATCTTCACCTGGTTGTGTCCTGCTTCACCAGAAATTTGGGAAGGACCCTAAAGGCAAAGCCTTGGCTCACCCCACCTCCCGCCCAGGCCATCCTCACAAGATAGTTCTGTTGGATCATTAATGGGTCAGCCTCAGGTGCTGAGTGAGCTTCTGCCTGACAAAGAAAGGCCACCCAAGGATGCCCCTTCCTTTTGGCATGACAATTGTCAACAGTGGCATAAGAGCCACAGTTCCTAGACATATGTGGGAGCACTAAACACCCGAAGCTGGAGAGAAGAGCCCTGCAGCACTAGGAACTCACATTGGCCTTCAGTGCAGGCCCTTCTCCTCTTCCCCTGTGGTCTCCCAGGGACTTGAGCTGTATGCTGAGACTCGCCATGCATCTCTATTTTCACGGTGACCTTGGCTATCCCACCCCAACACATTTCCCTTGAAGGGAACTGGCAGTGACTCTCATCATCACTCTTGGGTGTGTTTAGTAAGCCTCTACTCATGTCAGCCACTGCTACTGAGCACCTGCTCTGAACAGGCTCAAGCATGTTCTCATTGTTTTCTCACAATGACCCGGAGAGAGAAGATGACATTTCTTCTGATGGTGAGGACTTAGAGAGCCGCCCACAGTCACACAAGAAGTCTGTCAGGTCCCAGAGCCTTTGCTGACCTTTATACCTCCTTGCTCTGTGCACACAAACATCTAAGCACTCTCTCTAACTCATGGCTTCTGCCACAGTGAGTCTGCATTAACGTCATCACTGGTGGTTCTGGGCAGAGACGGGGACCCTAGAGGTTCCTTCCTAGCCAGCCCAGCATGGGTGCACACCACCACCTGACAAAGAGTTGTGATGAGATGCCACTTCCATCTCCAGCCTCCTACCATAAATATTCTGCATGTTCCCATGGCACAGTCCAGCTCTAGCAGGATTTCTGGTCCTGTCCTATTAACCACTCATAGACAGCCTGCCATTGCAGCTAACCTTCCTTGTAAGTTCCTTGAGGACAAGAAAGGTGCCGTTCCCCCCTCTTATCCCAAAGCAAAGCATCCATCTTTGGCCACACAGAACACGTGCAAGTTTCTATGGTGAGAATCAAAGTAGAAAGCAGTTGCACAATTGCAGCCCAAAGCCTGTTCCTGGGCAGACACCTCTTCTGTGTTGGTCCTCTGGCTTGTTTCCCCTCCACACATGAGGCAATCTCAGGTTTATCCATCTCCCCCACACCTTCCCTGGCTGCTGGATGCACGTAGGGAACGGCAACAGCACTTGCCAACTGAATAGAGGAATCCTAGTGCCCCGCAGCACTTTCTAATCATTCCCAGAGCCTGCGGCTGATGAGCTCTGAGAGAGGCTGGCAGTGGGCCTGCTTAATGACCATGGGCAGAGCATCCCAGCAGGCCCTGGTTCCCCATGGCCCCAGGGTATGAAGCCAGCCTGCATTTGTTAATAAGGACACAATCTCCTCCCAGTGGGAGTCATGCTGGCAGAGTTCAAACCTCTAGAGCATCTTGTACAAAATGCCATTTTCCCTACAAATCGAATTAGCATCTTATTTTTGTCTTACTACTCTAAAGTCTTATCCTTCCTGCCCTCAACTGTCCTTCCCCACCCAAACCACACATACTTCCTAATCAACAGCTGCCTCTGGGTGTTATCCCCAACACTGGTTTTCTTCATTAGGTCCATAAATATGTCAGTCAAAAAGGACACACTTGAATGGGCTCCCACCAGCCAAAGATGAGGCAGTCCAAGCACCATAAAAGATAAAGTCTGTAATGGATTAAAATCTATTAAATACAGAAAATTCGTGAGTGTAAACACATCTATAACTGAATGTAGGGTATATGGGAACTCTGTACCGTCTTTGTAACTGTTTTATAAATCTAAAATTATTCTAAAATAAAACATTTATTTAAAAAGAGACAAGTCAGACACAAAAGGCCACATGTTATATGCTTCTATTTCTATGAAATGTGCAGAATAGACAGATCACACTGAGGGAAAGCAGATTAGTGGATGCCTGGGGCTGGCAGGAGTGGGGAACAGGGAGGGAGTGCTTACTAAGGACAGCGTTTCCATTTGGAATGAAGGAGTTCTGGAACTAAATAGTAATGAGGGTTTCACAACACTGTGAATTTACTAAATGTTGCTGGATTGTACTTTACAATGGTTAAAATGGTACGTTTTATGTCATGCATATTACCACAATAAAAACAGAAGAATGTTTGAGTGCATTCTGAATGTACAACAGAAGGTAAAAATATGTATTAGAATAATAGTAGTTATTTAATTTCAAGATGGCAGATATTCATGGGAAGGAATACAGAAAAAACAAGATGAAGCCATGTAACTTAAGCTATACGTATTCATTCATTCATACATGCAAAAAATGTTTACTGAATGTCTGCCATGTGTCAGTCACTGTTATTTTTTTTTTAATATTTATTTATTTTTGAGACAGAGAGAGATAGTGTGAGTGGGGGAGGGGCAGAGAGAGAGAGAGGGAGACACAGAATCCGAAGCAGGCTCCAGGCTCTGAGTTGTCAGCACAGAGCCCGATGCGGCACTTGAACTCCCCAGCCTCGAACACACCAGCCATGAGATCATGACCTGAGCCCAAGTCCGACAACATTTAACCCACTGAGCCACCCAGGCACCCTGTCGTCACTATTCTCAGGGATGGGATACATCTGTGAAAAGGAAACATAACTAGCCTTGTGTTGTATCTATAAATTTATTATGTGTGTCCTGGAACCAATATGGCTACATATTATCAAATATGTGTCTTCATGGCTGGCACGTACATCTTTTATGTTTTTATGAAGGTACTGTAATAAGTTATATGACAAGATTGCCCCATTTAATCATCATCAACCTTATGAAGTAGATTTTAATCCCCCTCCACAGATGAGTCATAGATGATGCTTTCAGAGGGGTTGCAACTTGCACAGTCACACAGCTAACAAGTGGCAGAGCCTGGCTCACAGACAAATAAGGAAGTCCTTATATAAGAATGTTTCTAGCAGGATATATTTGGTCTGATTAGGTTGCTCTTTACAAATAAACTTGGGATTATGGATTTATGGGATGCAGCTGACTGAACAAGACACAGTCATAAAGGCTCTCAGCCTAAGAGAATAATGAAGAATAAACATGAAGAAGTCCAAAATCTAAGTGGCTTTCTTTGTGCTAACTTGTACTGCACACATCATTAGATCTCATCTGTTACTTGGAAACATGTTCCAGTTCAGAAAAAGGGACTTTTTTCTTTTTTCTTTCTTTCTGAAGCTGCACTTGATGGCTCAGATCTCAGATCTCTGGAAGATATCAGTTCTATAGTGCTATGTCTGTATCTACTGTTTCCTTGTATCCTACCTAAAAATTAGTAAATTTCAGTGTTATTAAGATTTTTTAAATCTGATTTTATGATATTTAGCAAACAAATAAGCAAAAACCCCTCATTGGTCCTTGTAGGAGGTTGCTAGGGAATAAACTCATTTTTCTAAAAATTGATAAAGGGCAAAAATCGAGCATTTTTCTGTCCCTTCTGCACAAACGGCATTTCAGAGTAAATAATATTTCATAAGGAAAATCTCTCTTTATTAAAGAACTCCAGCTAGTAAAAGCAAAATGATCGAGAGAATTTTAAAAGCACCATTTTGCAAGCCCTAATAAAATAATGGATCTGAGTAATGACAGTGGATGGGTGCTAAAATCATTAGGTAGAAAGCAGACAAGGGGCATTATCAAAGATGAATAAGGCTGAAAACACAGATCCACCCAGCAGGAAACGTAGGACAACAAGACACCTTGAGCCACCTGACATGGCAAGAAGTCCTTAGCACCCCAAGAGCACCCTGCAAAGAGAGCAAACATGAGCCAAATCAGGCATCTAGATCGCCTGCCAGTTTACGAGGAATATGGAGGGAATAACATCCCAGAGAAAACCAGGATGCAGCAAGGAGCCACCATATCCTGAGTCCTATAGGACAAATGATGGGGTTTCTTAAACAAAAAAGGGAGGGTCATGTAAAAGGAGCAGGGGAGATTAAAAGAGACATAAGATATAAAGCAACCAAATGTTGTTTGAATTCTGATTCAAATGAGTCAGAGATAAAAAAGACATTTTTGAGTCAATTAGGGAAATCAGAACATATTCTGATATTAAAGAATACTTATTTTGATAGGTTCCTTTTGGTATCGTGACTATGCCTAAACTATAAGCTGGAAATACATATGGAAGTGGTTACTGCTGAAATAATATGACATATAGAATTTGTATCAAAATACTCAAGGAGAGAATGGATGAAATGAGATTTGTCACATGCCATGAGTACACGAGGATTGCTATTCTTTTCTTGGAATGTTTGAAATTTTCCACAATAAAAGATGAAGTCATTGTTAAATGAAGGAATAGTGAGCAAAGGAATTTTTTAATGTTAATTATTTTCCTGTGCATCTGATGACACCCCAGTGGCTCTCACCTCTCCTAAGAGCACACACTCACACGACCTGAGCCCCCACAATTAGTTCCAGCATCCACAGTGCCCTGTGGTCAGATGGGCCGTTCACCCCTAGGATGGCTGCCATCACATGGTGGGCTTATACTGTATTTCCTGTGGTGATCACTACCTTGCAGACCCTCAGTAGGGGCACTGTGGGTGATAAACTGGACCCAGTGAACAGCATGGTGGGTTGGGTAGTTTGTAATGAATCCAAGAATGAGCTAATGTGGACTAGCATGGGAATGATTAAAAGTTTGAGGCAGATGGTGTGGAATGGACAGATAATGGATGTGTTGAACTCGGCTGGCTGGAAAACATGTGTGGAATGGGATGATTTGGATGGGATGGGATGGGATGGGATGGGATGGGATGGGATGGGATGAAATGAAGTGATAATTTAGGTTTTGCTTATGAAAGTAGCAAAAAAAAATGGAATAGCAGTGAAGTAACAGAAACGTCAGAAAACAAATATACACCAGGACCAACAGACTCAAACAAGTTTATTATAAAGTGACTGGCAATATCACAGGACCCAAAACACTAAACACCTGTTGTATTGATTTGACTGATACCAAATCATCTTAGTTTTTTGCAGTTGAATCCAAAATATCAAGTACAACTTCCTAAAAGCCATAATGAGAAATGTACGTGTCTGTGCTCCCCAGACTCCCATCCCCCACTGAGATGTTGGTTCACATGGATTTGATTATCTTATTCCTCATATCTTAATAAAGAAACTTCCCTCTCACCAGCTGCCCTGGAAGAGTGGCTTCTGCCATGAGGCAAGGTGGGGCAGGAGAGGCAAGACCCTGGGAGGGGTGTAAGTGTCTAATATACCTTTCCAGTGTTGTGGTAGATGTAAGATGGCCACAAATCCTCTGACACTCCCATCAGAAGATGTGTTTGCTCCCTTTGAACTGGACAGGTTCTGTGTCTGTTTTCATCAATGGAAGATGTCAGAAGTGATGTGGTGCCAGTTTCCAGGCCCCGGGATTCAAGACTGGCAACTTCAACAGCTCATCTCTTGGACTACTCACTTTTGGAGCCCTGGGTTGCCACGTAAGAAGTCCTGCTACCTAGTTAGGGGGACCACCTGGACAGAGAGGAGGTGCCCACTTAAGCCCAGTCAGCCC